TTATTAAAATATTTGAAACTTAGCACAGCTGAATTTAAAACTGCATAGAGTTACCTTATATTCCTTAAACAGTTGCTACATGTACACATTTTAGCTGCTTTGCTTAAACTTAACTTCTTTCTGAGACAGTGTTTTTCTGTGGCTTTGGAGTCTGTCCTGGAATTCGCTTTGCTGACCAGGCTCGCCTTGAACTCACAAAGATCCACCCACCTCTGCCTCCCAGTGGTGAGATTAAAGGCGTGTGCCACCAACGCCCTAAACTTAACTTCTGAAAACATAAACTGTAACATCTTAAAATAGATTAGCATCTTTTATTAAACAAGAGCTTTACATTATCAGGCTTTGCTTAAAAATGATTCTCAATTGAAGCACTTTAAGTACAAACATTAATAAAAAGACATTTTTAAAGAACATAAACATATAAAAAACTGGTTTTAAAAAGAAATTTAAATTCCCTTAATGACCCAGAGACTGATATTGTGGTTCAAACTGAAGATCAGGGCAGCAAAACCGCCTACCAGTAGCTGTCGCTTCAAGCTCAGACTGAAAGGCTGATTCATACACCACCAATCCTCAAACTGCAGCCTCTCTTCATTGTGGCTGGAGAACCCTAACATGTCAATGTATTCTTATCCTCCCTGATACTTGCCAACTGCAGTGACGCTGGAGAATCAATGCCTGGTATCCTCAGTGTGGTGGAAAGAATGACTAACCCAGAATTTTCTCCTGTCCTGTATACCTCCTGAATCCTGGGATTAAAGGCATGAGCAATGGACACTTTTAGTCTGATTCAATGTTGTCTATAACTGGGTGACCTTGACCTCAGAGAGATCTGTCTACCTGTTAATCCTGAGCCCTAGAATTAGAGGTGTGGACTAGTACTCCAGCTTCTTCCCACTGGGATTAAAGGAGTGTGCTTGGTTTCTATGGCTCATGATTGACTGGGCTGTCTGATCCTCAGCAAGCTTTAATAAATCATAAATAATGTATATCTACACCTGGCCTTGGGGAAATTTCCTCCCCCAATGTGAAAGCTGCATCAAGTAGAACATTGTGTCCCACAGTCCCTCAACTGAAGTCCCTCTAAGGCATGGCTGGGACAGTCTGGCTCTATCATAAGATAGGAAGCTATATTACAAGGTGGAAATAAGTTTGTTTCTGTTTGTTGCAAAATTTCATTTTCTATTTCTTGGAATTTGACTTGATCATACCTTGAACATCCCTGCAATTCACTTGGTCTCCAATCTGTCTGTTCCTTGAAATACACTGTGGCCACACCACAAAATTTTCTGTGAAATACACTCAACACTGCTATCTCCTTATGTAGTCTACTTGAAAACTGTATATGTTGACAAAATTCCTTCTGAATACACCCATAATTTACCATCTGAAATGAGCCTAGAAAGTTAATTTCCAGGTGACTTCCTGAGACTCTCATTTGGGCATAGGTGGGTGGGAGGGTGGCACTGCCCCTGTACCTGATATGCTGTGCCCAGAAGGGAAGCCTACTTGCTTCGGCCAAATGCAATTTGTGACCTCAGCCTTTACATTCTATGGGCGGGATTAACAATATCAAGGAGACTCTATTTTCTTTTTCATTTTCATTTTTATCTTGTACTTTTTTTGGTTTGATTTTGGAGACAGTGATTTTACTCTACTGCTTTGATGATGGTCCTGGAACTCGCTAAGTAGAAATGGGTGGCCTCGAACTCATAGAGATCTGCCTGCCTCTGCCTCCGGAGAATTGGGATTAAAGGACAGTGGAAAAATACCCAGCAAAGAGAATTGTATGGCAGGTCTACTTCTGCTTTCTTTATCTGATGTGGTTTCAT